GTTGTTCTATCATCACCATGATTTTAATGACTCAAACAAAGTGACGTGTTTCTTTTAAATCATACAATTATTATTTAACAGAGGATTCAAAAAGAATGGTTCACAAATATATGTATATATATACCTCAAATAGAATTATTGTGTTAGGGAGTTTTAATTGTCAACTAGAATAAAACCTGCTAAGGATGGATGATGATTTTTTTTTATTCAAATAACTTTGTGACAAGCCAGTGTAAGCCGACTGATTTCTCTGCGTCCACTTATTTGCGTTGTGGCCAAACTACAACCCGTTATTAGTTGGTCAAATCAACAGATTTTAATAGTACTTTTACATTCCACAATTTATTGAGTTATCTTAGTTTAGTGTATTACCGTGCTAATATTGGAAAAGTGAGGTTGCTGGAATCAATGAGACCCTATTAGTTGGCAAAAAACTATCTGATTTTGGTTATAATCAAGATAAACTAATTAATCAATTAAATATATGAATAACATGTATGAAACATAAATAAGCAGAGGTGGCAATCTGCAAAGTGAGAAATATGTGTTATCAATCATAATAATATGTGCGAAAACTTATGATGATAAAAGCGATGAGAATACTGAGTAAAGCCGCCAGAAATGCAGTAGGGTGAACAACCAATTCTAAGAGATTAAAGATGCTACATGTATCCGAAGTTTGACAACGCTTTTACCAGTCACATTTTACGATCAAAGTATACCAACACGCCCAAACCATTAGTCGGAAATGTAGGGACTTGAAAATATATCTGAGACGTTATCGATGTGTCCAGTGTGTACGAACTCTACCCTGGTGCAGATCGTCGATCTGTCTGGCTCTGACTTTGATGAATCCACATTGGGCTTCACCAAGTGTTTAATTTTGTCCATGTTCTCCCCTAGTGGTGATTCTACTCCCATAATAGCCTGTGACAGTTTATTGAGTGCCTTGACAGTTTGTGTTCTGGAGTGCAGATAATTTCTACATAATGCTTCTGTGCTATAAGGTGGATGTCATTACAGCCTAGTCGTACTATGTTGCTGTTGTATAAGTGCTCGGTTGAGTTGTTTGAGCACCAACTATGTGTACCGTTTCTAAAGTGATAAGATCATTAGTCCCTTTAGTAGAAAAGCCTAAATAGTATGTCAGGTTCATTTTCGAAACGCGGAATCCACATGATGCCCGTATTTAAGGCTGTACATTTCCGTTTTAATGCGACAATTGTGTTTTTATGCGATATAATTTTGTTGTCCTACATCAACAGCAAATCACTCGTCATAACGCATAGGTTCAGCCGGCTAAGCAAGTTTACTACAAATTTTGTGACCGTAATCATGCTTGTAAATTAGCATGCTCGACGTAGCTTATGGTTTGTGAGAAGAAATTGTTTTTATAGTTTCTGAGCGATTGGTCAAAACACAAAGTATTTGATCAACTTCTACTCACATCTTGTGTCAGACTATCATGTGTGGATATGGACTGGGAGAAGGCAAACATGTTGACTGTATGACCAGACTTACCTAGTGCTCATGTCTCTTAACCATCGTAGAGAAGCATACGCCACCCACCAAACTTGTAGCCGAGCTCCGTCCTCGAGAATCTTTTCCAACCCTTTCCTGTTGTCATTCGTCGTTTCATGTGCTTTCTGATCACCGACGGAATATGTTTCTCGTTCTTCCTTTTTTCTGTTTCGCTTCAGTATTTCAAGTTAGTGCTTGACTCGCGTTACAGTTTGGTGATTTTCTAAATGTATGTACAGTCTACTTCCAACGTCTTTTAATTATTTCCTTATCAGATGAAGGCTGATTCATCCACCACCAAATAAGGCTGTTGCAGTGTAGCCCGTCGTAAGAATTCCGTAGTCAGTCTTACGAGTTTCAGATGATATTGACGATCTTCTCAGGTACACTGTAGTGTTGAGGAGGTCCCGTAAGGTCCAGCTTCACAGTCAGAGACGTTACCACTGAGCTATCCGAGCCCGGGCTCAGGGTTTCCTGTTGACTACCTCCAACCACCATCAATACATAGTGCCCGCAGTGTCGAGTCACCTAGACTGGTGGCCACATTGCAACATGATCGATAGCATTCGATCTGCACTAACAAGGACTAGACAAGCATGACATTGATCACCACCCAGTGATCAATCAATTGTGATTGCATCTCAGTCCTACAGGAGGTTAGTCACGGCTCGGATAGCTCAGTGGTAACGTCTCTGACTGTGAAGCTGGGTGACACGAGATCGAACCCGCCAGGGAGCACCAGTTCCCTCAAGATTACAGGTACACCTTGCTGACGAGTGCCAAGTAGCACGAAACCCGGGTCCAGGGTTTCTTGTTGACTACCTCCAACCACCGTCTAATCTCGAGATGCTAATGTACTGGCAGATTTACGAATAAGGTTTCATGTCAAAAGTTATCTGCTATAAGGGAAATGAACCGTGGTGATATTTAACTTCAAAATCGTAAATGGTTCTCGGTTTCAATAAGCACGGGAATAAAGAATGGTTCTCTATATATAACCTAGACAATAATCAAGGATCGAAGAACAATGAGATATTGGTTTAACAACTTGGGTTGTTTGGTTAACATTTGACTGAAAATATCTTAGTACTGTCAGACCATCATGTAGCAGTAAATGTAGAGGTATTTTCTGTCCACTTCAGAAGGCATTTTGAAGAAGGATAAGTAGCAGCAGATCAGGAAGAGGTATGCATCACCACGACATTTGAGGAAGATATTATTGAACGTGGGAACTACAGGAGCATCTCACGACTATCAGTGTAAGGTAATGATATCAACAGCGTTGCTCAACGGAACGAAAGATTCAGCAAGCCTGTAGTGGTATTGGTCCCAACCACACAATCCTCAAATCCGAACACGAGAAAACTGGAAAAATATATATTCATCAGTTAACTCGGAGAGGAGATCAACAAGGGAGAAATTAGGGATAGTTAGTTGAATTCGGTCAGCATGGCATGGCTCAGACTTGAAGGCGTGGTCACTGTCGTTTAGACCATTCACTTCCACACTAAATGCATTATTCTATCATCAGCCGAAATGTGTTCTTCCTGAGTGCCAAACATCATATTGCATGTTGTCATGATACGATGAGTCAGGGTAGAGAATGATGTGACGTCCATATAAGATCTTATAGATTAGGTGGTCACATCATGACAAATCTACAATTCTGGGATCAGACCTATTATTAAAATAGTATTAATTTCCGAAATAGATCACAATCACCCAACCTCCTAACTTCGACATCAACAAACTAGATTTTGAAAGAATCTGCCATGTGCAGACTAAAATCGCAACCTCTTGGGTTATTTTTGGGCGATCAGTTGAATGAAATTCATCACCATAAACCAACATCCTCGATTATGAGAAAATGTTTGAGAGCATGATTAAGAGAACCTTCTTCTGATTCTTATATCAATTCTTAAGAAAGCCAATGCAACAAGAAGTTTATAGCGTGATAGCTGCTTGTAGAAACCCTACCACCCTTAAAAATTTATTCATTAGGATCCGGAAGAAATCTGCCTCATAAATGTCAACTCTTTCAGTTGGTTAGCCAAGATATATTTACTGTGCCTTACCAAATAAAACCGTTGCATGTAAGTTACATGACCCAATAGATAACTTGTGGATTTTGAATAATCTAACGAATTGCCAATCGTTCTGAGTAGATTAAAACTTTTACAAGGCTTAATCAGGCGGTCGAACTTGAAGTGTGCAGGATAAAATCGCACTGTTTTTATTTTCGATCTTAAAATCAATAACATAGAACGATTAATTGAATGATAATTGTATGAATTGCTCAACACAGCTTCAAGAAAATACTCGAAGCGCACAAGACTTTAGAAATGTTTACATAAATTGTTATTTCATGGTTCACGAGCTAGAAATCGATATGTCTTCAGCGACCGATCTATTCGAAAATACATTCATTTCTTTCTGTTTCGTGTTAATGGGATCTTAACAAAGGGAATCTATGATTTATTGCAGTTCAGTAGTTTATATCACTAACTGTTCTTAATTACATCACCAGGGCAAGTCTGTGAAATAGTTGTTTACCACAGGTTATGAATGAGTAATGAGCTACATCATAAAATGATTGAAATAGTATACTAATAGTTTCACGCCGTTTCGGTAGTCTATGAACTTCATGTTCACGCCTGTGAATGCACGTGATGATGACCCCTATACTGGAACTAAACACTCCTGTGCTTCCATGTTTTTAGTGTTGGTCTTAGAATCTTACGTTATTCAAATTATAGGAGTACATCTAGGTCATCGAGGTCAGTAATGTTGTCGGTCCTTCACAACCCACTTATATCTAAGACTGCATAAAGTATTTTTTCTGACTAGTTCTCGTCTACATAATTATTTACCGTACAAGTTAAAAACCATTATCTTCATTTCTTGCAAACTATGTGATTTTTGAAATTGCTTCTATAGCACTTTAGTGGATTCAGACACCGTTCATGAACAGTAAAACTGCAAACAGCCTTATGCACACCGAATGATTGGCATAAACCAAACAAACTGTTTTTATTCCTGAAAACGTGTATCTATATGAATTTGTAGGGTATGATATATTCGCGAGTTGTAGCTTGCAATTAAGTATATGATAATATGTTTAGCACCTCAATTCCATAATGTACTTATTTTGTTTTCAGTTCTAAATTGACGGCGTTAGCTTGTTTATACGTATATGTACGCATAACTATCTTGATGATAGTTAATCTTTTATATACAGGGATTTCTTAAATAGTTCGTCTTTTTTTACATAACTTGTTCATCTAATATTTTCAGAAATGTGATAAAAACATTTTTGTAGTAACACGAAATTCTAAATTAACTTTTCGTCTGTTTTCAGACAGTCCTCGTAATTTTAGTTACACAGATTCCTAACAAGTCTCGAAATATCTCATTATGTTTTAGTTAGTGTTATTTTTGTGATCTTATAAACACTACTTGATATATGAAAAGTACACCCTATGCTCGGTTTTCGTCTGATTGCATTCCTAATATTTTATGCTTCGGTTTATTGCGAGAATTTTAATGAAGAACTTCTCATCAAAGATCTTGGTCATGGATATACAGCATTCCATTTCAATTTTGCCGCTACAACTTCAGAGTCTGTTTTCCATTGTAAGTTCTATCAATGCTTAGACGAATTTTGATTTAGCAAAGCACTATAACATTCTTCCGAAACCCATCATTCAAATCCTAAAAAAATATGATGTGGATGAATTCCACCTTTCTATCTCAAGAGGGATATGGGATGAACGTTGGGGTAGTAACTTTATTTCAGTTTCTCCTTCTGGAGCTGAACTATGGGCATGGTTTGGAAGTCAAACTACCAGGTAATCCTTATACTTAGTTCAACGTTTAGTGTTGATCAATCATGGTTTAAATTAACACATGCTCTTTCGGGATTATTCTGTGCTTCTTTAAACCGACTATCTACAAATGAACATTTTGCCTCTCCGATCCACTCTTACAAGCCATCTGGAGTACCGAAATTCAGTAGAGTTTCTAAGGAGGTCAGATATTCTCAGCTACCTGGTGAGGCTTTGTGCAGTGAGAATTTGACTCCATGGACCAAGTACTTACCATGTAAAGCATTTTCCGGTTTGGGAAGCTTGTTGCGTTCAACTTCACTGTTTAAGTCAAATTACAACACCATGACTATTGGAGTTAGACGAGTGTGTTTGGTAAGCCTTATTTGTAATATATCATTACTACTCAGGATTTAGAATGTCACGAAATCGGGCTAGAGCTGATGGAAACCCTGACCGTTGTCTTTGACAGAAGTTTGTTGTTTGCGAAAAGAACATGTAAGTGGAATTTAAAATTGCTACACTGTATATGTTAACTAGTGATATACAACCTCCTATGTTTTCATTTCGTGTCTAGCTATCCACTATCCATAATACCTTACGATTTACAGATTTTTTCAAACGAAACGACCGAAGTTTTTTGTTCATTACGAGTGTTCTCTATCTAACAAAGTATCTCAGAGTCAAAGTAATACATGTTTTTGTTTACAGCAAGGTCTTTCACTTGTGTTTTGTTACCTGTACGTCAGTGCCTTATTATAGATTAGAATTTTGTAAGTTATGATATCGAGTTGGGATTAGTCTTTATCTCATTACCCTACAACCTTCCGTAACATTTTTCCTAATAACCATTCACAGCTTTATTCATTTTGCACCTCAAATTTCGCTTGGTTTCTTGTTATTGTATTGCTTGTTATTTTTTTTTATGCAACATGTAATTCAACTAATGAGATCAAACCATTCATATTGCTTTACTTATGGATTACATTTAACTTTTTAGATAATATATCAATCTGTTCATTTTATTGGAATTTCATGAACACGAATAAACATTCCTCTTCATATTCTGTAACTTTGTCATTCGGAAATATTTAAATTGTTATTTACTTTTTATACTGTTTTAGTAAGTGCAAATGTATATATCAGTTGGTTCACACTTAAGTGACATGAACAGAAGAATAACAAAAGAAATAGCCTAAATCACATAGGTTGTTGATGTGATATAGTATTTCGGTTTAGTGGCTAGTAGTTAAAAATTAGTTCGATAGGACTTATCTCTATTGTTCTCTAGTTGTACATTAATATTACCAATAAGAGACTAGCATCTTGTCAATTAGCTCACATTATAAAACTTTATTTAATATGAACTTCATTTGGCCAAATCTTTTAGTGTTTATCTCATTCATATGTATTATTTAATTTGGATATATATATATTCTCAGCTCCTTGGTCTATCAGAAGTATCCTTGGTTCGGAATTCAAAGGATTTTGCGATGCAGCAAACACTAGTCGCGTGTTCATCCTTGCTTCATATGAAGATATGAATATCCCTTTAGATAATAAACTGAAAGTCGACTGTTTGGATAATCGTGTTCTAGCTGCGTATTCGACAAAAGATCTATCTACACAATTCATATCTTTTCCTTTCAAAACTAGTGGGAAAAAGTCCTCTCCAGAGCATTCACCTCTTGTTTCAGCTACCAAACATATCACTGGTTCTGGAAGTGTAAGGGGTGGAGTCAAAGTTTTCCTGACTAGTAGAGCTGATTTCAACTTAAAGATAGTTTATTTTGATCTAATTCCGTGGTACACACAAGTTTTTTTCAGTTCCTTAAAAATCTACGGTTTGGATCCCAAAACACAAAACAAAACAGAGATTACCCCAAGTAAGTCGATCTGAATTGACTTGCTTTTCAGTAATCATGTTATATATCCAATTAATTCTTAATAATGGGAAGTTGTTTTAAAAAATGCCGCGGTAAGACCGAAGGTGAGGAAAGTCCGCTCCCTCTCTCGAAATATCCTCACAAAGCCTCGCGTATACAGCCACTCAGAGAAGTCCTACTCAGTGCCCTCTCGCGGTGAGAATATTATTTGCGAAATCGGTAGGATGAAACGCGAATGTCTAGTGCTTTAACCGGGTTGGTGGGTATGGAGGATTCACCTTGAGAATTGGTAACTGCCGGAAGCTCTTTGAACTCATCCAAGTCACTAGCAGCAAGGAGTCTGGTGTGAGTGAAACTATCTGTGAAGCTGATGTGATGCCAATCAATATCATCTACGAAGTCTTGGATGATAAGCAGTTTCTCGAGGAGCAGTTCAACTGGTCTGTTGCCCTGACGACATCAATCAGACTTCCTGCCCTTCATGGCCGGTGACGACTGATCCACTTGACGAGGTGGAAATTCCCAAGGAACCTCAACTCTTGAAGCTCCCCAAATCACCGGGCTCAGATGACTTACCTCCGACCCTTCTGATGATGCCGGTTAATGAACTGGCTGGGTCGTTTATATGTGTCTGGCAATCAGAGAGTGTTTCAACATCGTGGAATGAGTTGATAGTTTTCCCTATCTCAAAAAAGGTACACATCGTTTATGCAACAACTGTCTACTTCCGATCGCGTCCAAACTATTGGCTTCCGTCATATTTCGTGTAATTGTTCAAAATCCAAGAAAGATTGACTCGTGAGGAACAGGCTGGTTTTTGTTCTGATCGAGGATGTATTGATCATATCTTATCATTAAGGCCGCTCTCGACTCGCTGGACAGGACCGTTCTGTGGGGTTAACTATTGAAATAGAGTATATCTGAGAAGTTTATTAACATCTTGAAAGCCCTATATACAAACGCCTCACGCAGAATGAGGGCACGCAACCATTTGTCTTCATTGTTTTCATTCAAGCAGTGGGGTTAGGCAGGGTTGCCCGATCTTACCATTCCTCCTCAACTTTTCCATCGATGATTATCTGGAAAAATCTCTGGTGAATGTAAGTAATAGTGTTGTACATCTGCTGCTTGGAGAAGAACTTCTCGACCTTGAATATGCGGATGATATTGTCGTACTGTATGTTGATACCCAAGCCATGTAATCCGCACCGAGTCAGTTGACAGTCACTGTCCGCAAGTACGGCATTTCTTCTGCACCTTCCAAGCGCAAAGTACTTCTACGGGACTGATAGAGCTTTGGACTAACACTCTGGACAGTGAGTAGGTAGACGTAGTCGAGAAGTTTGTGTATCTGGGTAATTGTGTAAGTGCTGGTGGTGGCGTATGATGAAATCGATCCGTACATAATGAAAGGCAGAGTGGCTTATGCCAATGTGATCCATATTTTGCGCCTCTGTGATGTTAGTCTGGCTGCAAATGGTCGGATCTACAATGCATCAGTGAGAGCAGTTTTTATCTATGCCTGTGAAACTCGGCCTCCGAGTTGAAGATGTTAGACTACTCTGTTTAGTCATCGTTGTCTTCGAAGGATTGCTGACGTCCAATGGCGACACTCTGTTAATAATGTAGAGGTCCGGCATCGTGTTCGGGCACAGCGACGGTAATCCAATTAGTGTCACTATCTTGAAACATCGACCTCACTTTCGTGGACATATCCTACGAATGTCTTCCCAGAGAATTCCACGTCGCGAATTATTTGCCGACGCTGGAACTGGTTGAAAAAGGCGGAGAGGCAGTCAGTGTGTGTCGTGGTATGAAAGAAAGCTGTACAAGGCAGGCTTCTGTCGGACCTCCACGATTCCCTGGTCGGTGTCCTAGAGATGATACATAGTGGCTTGAGACGTTATCAGACATAACTCAGTATAAGCCAGTGACGATTATGCCGAAACTTTATTTAACTTCATAAAAGTGTGAGTAACTTCTTTGGTTGAAAGAATTCTTCCTGGTTGTATTCTTCCCAACTTAACTGCCTCCCACTATTGTTAATATTTTTATCTCGCTCTCGAAGCTGCTACCTTGACGCGGTGGTCGGGCTTGCCTATCGTGATGACCCAACCGAGCTATATTGGCTGGAACATATGTTCCTGCAGGTTCTACCACGCCAGGCAGGTCGATTGGTGAACGGTAAGACTAAAAGCAGCAACTCAAGGTCTGAGGGCGAAGTCGTACTGCTGACTGTAGAGGGGTGTGACAGCAGTAAGGTGTTTCCCTCGGACATCCAGCATGACAGCGATGCTGCCTTCCTACAAGGAGGGGTGGGGTTAGAAAAGGTCGACCCTAAAAATGTCACACCTCACCTTACCTCACGGATTTCCGTCTCCGGCGGTAAGGCCCTTTGAAGAACGGAGTTAACACGTCAAAAACCTTCCACATAAAGGCCGTGCGCGACCGGCCTCAAGCAGTTGTCCCTTGGGCTCTGCGGTCACGCTCCCAGGTCGTCAAGATCAACACTAATCCAATTTCCTTTTCAGGTTCCTCAAGAAATACCCTTCCACGGTGTGGGCAGCCGGGAAGTGATATCAGCCCTCATACCCGTAACAGCACAAGAGGCCAAGGTGGTCACATTCAAATCTTTCCTACACCTTCTAATACCTCTCTTATCTCCCCGACTAACCCTCCCCACGTCTCTTTATCACCTCGCACCGCTAGGGCAAACGATTCGAGTACGTGGAACGCCATTCCTGGTCTCCTGAAACCATGCTCTAAACTACACGTAGGAGTTTTTAACGTACGAACACTTTGCCAAATAGGACAGCAGGCTTCCTTAGCTAAAACTTTAGAATCTCGCAAGTGCATCCACTCTGTGTTCTCCCAAATTCTAATCTTCTGAATTCTTCATGTCCCTTTTTTCCTCTTTCCAAATTTATTTCACTGGATTATACTCTTTAAATAACATCTCCAAACCCTAATCTTCCCGATTACTGCTCATACTCGTACTACTACCTCTGCCACTATGGGATTTGAATCGACAACTGCATCTCTGTGCTAATGTGATGTGGCAGCTCGAACTGATGTACGTACGTACGAAGTTCTACGTTGTTACTGACTGACTAACTGAATTTCTTCACATTGTTGCTTTACTTTCTGTTATACTCACTTCATCTCTTCCCAACCTAATTGTTATTGTGTGGCGCATATGTATTTCGTGCCCCTTTAAACCAGGGTTTGTGTGTCTAAATGTCTGAAAATGGTAGCTAAGTTACAAGCATAATTTCACAATCTGAATTATTTGTGCAATCGTTTTTCATTTCATGCATAGTATGAACGTTTTATCTATATCTAGCACTTAAATTATTTCTTATTTTTTTCACTGTACTAGATCGAATGAGATTTCTGTAGTCGTATGCAGTTTTATACTTTGTTAATATTCATATTTATCCACCAGTCTTTCTTAAATCATTTCAGTGTTTGAATGAAATACGTTTATTTTGATAGACTGGTTGGCAGTTAAACCAAGTTTGGCTAGGAAACGTATGGGCAGTATTGAATTAGTAATCACTTTGCCTGCTCTTAATCAGTTAATCATTACTTATGAGTTTCGGAAAGTTTTACAACGCTGGAATGAATTTCCTCCTGACGCCAATCATGGCTTTTTCGTTCCTGCAGCAACTGTTTCGTATGTTTTAAACAGCGAACAAATATATTATTTAAACAAAACAAAACATACAGCATTCCACAATCTGAATCTCCCGAATTGGGCCAGTAGTTACAATCAGTTTTTGTAAGTTACTTGCCTATTCATAGATCCCCTAGCTTGTGCTTTTAATATCCCAAGATAACTCATTCTGTTTTTATGTTCAGTGTGCTCAAGTAGATAAGATCTATTTCCCACCAATTTCATGGCTAAAAAAGCGTAAACTAGGTAGTTTTAAGGAATAAGTCCAACATTACCCCCAGTAGTTATCGAACATGGATTTCTCTGTTCACCTGTTACAAGTTACGATAAATGCTAACCGGAAGTGTTCACTTTGGTGAAATTACAATTCTCTATACTCACGTACTAAAGTATCTACGAAATCCAATCAGTCTGTAGATGAATACGTTAGCATTCGATTTCCAGTGATCAGTTTTATGCTGATCGCAAACTTCTCCCGATATAATCTATGGAAGTAATCAGATTACTGATGAATTTCTATGACCTGTGGACGATAGAACTGTCAACTTCACTCCTTGTTTGAAGTTTAATAAAATACCTAATGTTGATTAAAAGTCCCGCGTTTCACCACCACGGAAGAAGTAATGATTATGGAATCTTTACTGAATCTTACCATTTTAAGTAAAAACTGTTTTCATCCAAAAATAGGATTTTATGAATGGCACTTACTTCGATCAGCTGTAGATTAGAGATAATAATATAGCGTTTGTATTTCATTATCTAGTTTTGGCCATAAGTTTATTTAGGAACACTACGCTCCATCTTATTTTTGTTGATAGACCTGTGTTATAGCTAATCTATTCATGAAAAATAATTGACTATTATTATCTGCTAGCCGACTGAACCACTAGTGCTTGACCGACCAAACTGAGCAGTATAAGAAGATAACGTAAAAGACCGCATCCCCCAGATGCCGAATAATAATCCTTACAAATTGTATCTATAGGCGGCACAATCAGATACATGTGAGGAGTGACCTTTATCTAGTGAATGATCCACTTACAACCTGTCTATATCATGCGACCGTTAGTATTTGCGTGGTCTTGCTTTGTCCAGATATTTCAAAAATTATTCTGTAGGCGATGCACCAAGTTAGTTAAATGTCATATCGGGAATGAATGTTACTTGGCTAACCCAAAATGTTCATTTAGTTTCACAGTTTTCACGTAGAAAACTCAGCAATAATACAAGCTAATAAAAAAAACACTAGGTTATTTGGAATAATCATAAGAATCAAGACGATGGAGATGTTCTATCAAGTTGTATAACAGGAAAAGTGTGGATGAAGTGAATGATAGGACCTTGTAATGCAGAGGTCAGACTAACCCGGCCCGGACACCAATTCAATAGTAATATACAAGTACGCCATCGACATGTTAAAACTATCTTTTAAAATATATCATTGTTTGCTTTCTTCTTTCTACTAGCAATACAACTCATTCTGTACCTCAGGATGATTTTGTTCGTCTACACACTCCTGTATCTCTGGTCACAATGCCAACACCAGATTTCAGTATGCCATTTAATGTTTTGTGTTTGGTTTGTTCGGTCGTTGCTGTTGTGTTTGGATCCGTTCACAAGGCTACGACTACTGTTTTCAACGTTACTCTTAAAAAAAATTCCAGCGACTCAATAATAACACATCTAATAAACCGCATCTTAACTAAGAAAAATACTTCAAAGACAATGAGTGAACAGAATATATCAACGAGTGCTCCAAGCAATCACGATAAAAATGACTGATTTCGTTAAAAATAATAATCATATGCTTAAGCATCAGAACCGTGATACACATATTTTGTATTTGACGTCGTTTTTGTAATAAAATCATAGAAACTAAAATACCCACCTTTTATAACCTTCTTTACAAAGAGCAATCTACACAAAAATGAAACCGTTATACTAAATATGTAACCCATCAATGTATTTAAGAACAGGATTGCTTCACCGAACTAAAATTTTTATTTTAATATTTACATGTATATAGGTCGATACTAAGAGACAGATATTTCAATTTCAAGGGATCAAAGTACAAATATATACATCAGGTACGATTATATTAACGTAATTTATTTTAGTGAACTCTTCCCTGGGTTATGGTCACTATACCTGGAAGTGTGCAGAAGCCTTGTCTGATTTTCTGGTGAAGTATCCTGAGGTAGTCAGAGGGCTTCGAGTTCTCGAAGTTAGGTTTTGTTCAATAACACTGATATATTATAGCTCGGTGCTGGCACAGGACTTTGTGGAATTACTGCAGCTATTCTCGGGGCTCTTCATGTTCGATTCACTGATAAAGACACGACATATTCGGATAAACTACATCTTAATGCTCAGCTGAATGGAATCAAAAATTATGATTTTACTCCATTAGATTGGAATTATCCCCTCGACTGGTCAGGTGGGATCTTCGATACCATTTTAGCATCAGATTGTTTGTATGATAAGGAAGGTGAGTCCATCATTCTAGTCTCATTTTTAGTATATGAACCGTTTTTGAAGACTGCAACTTTACAACTAAGAGTAAACAACAATGCATCTTTACTTCTTTCTTTCGAAAATCGGAGGTAACCTCATTTAAAAAAGCTTATGTATAGCAGTTCTTTTACAGACCTCTCAGTTTTGTTTAAGAAATATGGTCTCAAGGCCGATGTTCTAACTACACCTAGTAATTCGTTCAGAAATATCCATTTATTGCGTGTTACCTCTAGTCAGCAATAAAATATCGTTTCGTTGTGTTTTTTGTGTATGAACTTGATAAATATGTTTGTTTTGAATGAGTCTTTTTTCACCTCTGAAGTGCACTCGTTATCCCCGACGTAACTTAACGTGTTTATAAATCAATAAGATTATGTGGATTACACTGGTGCTGAAGTTTTGAAATCATTTACTTTTGATGTGGACATCCCATGTATCTAAATAAATCGTTGCGCTTGTATCACGACGCAAGCGCTAACTTAGAATCCTGAAGAGATAAGGGAAAGAGGAAAGCTAAAGAACATATTGCGTCGGGAGTTGGAAGCAGACATCAAAAAATGCATAGCAACTGGAAAGGGTTGCCCAGGACAAAGTTCGGTCGAGAATGTTGGTGGACGGCCTATGCTCCTCCACAAGGGGTGGCAGGCGTAAGTACTTTTGATATGCGTAACACATAGACAAAAATACTTCGTTAGAAAAAATATATAACCGACCGAGTTTAACGTTCCGTAGTTAAATGATGCATACGCCAATAATCTTGTTTCATTCCAATTATTGTATACTAAGGAATTTCGTCTTCAGTTTTCATTGTGTGAACAAATTTTGACAGATTTCCATAGTATAATCAAGTTTTCAGAATGGCTATTAATGGTCAGTAACTACAAACCGATAAGAGTTGTAGTCAAGCAAGACTGTTTGGATATCCTGTCGTTCGGATTACATTTGTAGGGGTAAGATATCAAAAAGAATGTTTCACATTATCCGGATATCGAAAAGGACTAGTGGATTAATAGTTTCTAACTTCATCTTCCAGTAGAGAACTAAATGACAGCCTAATCCCGAAACACAGTAGGGACTATGGTTATTTAGAACACAGACACACGTTCATACGCCCCACAATCGTAGTATTTCTCGACATTAAGGCGGCATTCGACTCCGTTGATCGTGAGGTTTTATGGCAATGTTTGTCAGTGAAAGGAGTACCAAAGAAGTACATTAACCTTGTAAAGACTCTCTACTCGAACACAACTGGTCGAGTGAGAGCTTATGGCGAACTGTCATCAGAATTGATTACCTCAAGTGGTGTTTGTCAGGGCTGCCCACTCTCTCCATTCTTGTTCAACTTTGTCGTCGACGTACTTTTAGAGATAACACTTTCCTCATCCAAATTTCCAGGGGTTGAACTTCTACCAGGAGATTCACTTGTCGACTTGGAATATGTCGATGACATAGTTCTATTTGGTGAAGACGCGGACAAAATGCAGTCTTCTGACCACTCTAAGCAACAATGCAAGCATGTTCGGGATGCGATACTCTCCCTCGAAATGCAAAATGTTGCTTCAGGATTGGGTTGCATCGACACCCGAACTAATGATAGGGAGTGAAGTAGTTGAGCGTGTCGACCGCTTCACTTATCTTGGAAGTCTCACCAGCTCTTGTGTGTGACGAAATCTCAGCACGGACACAGAAGGCTTGGCTAGCTTTCGCCAACTTGCGTCATTTATGGCGTAGGCGAGATATCCGTCTACCAACCAAAGGACGTGTTTACTGCGCAGCAGTTCGTTCCGTCCTACTTTATGGCAGTGAAACATGGCCGGTAAGAGTAGAGGATATTCGTAGGTTACTAGTATTCGATCATAGGTGTCTTCGAAACATTGCTCGTATATCCTGGGACCATCGAGTAAGTGACGCAGTTGTTAGGAAACGGGTACTAGGTAAGGATGGCAAATCAATTGATGAAGTAGTGAAACTTCATCAGTTGAGATGGCTGGGACACGTGTTACGTATGCCCAACGACCGACTGCCTCGATGTGTGATGTATTGTTGTATAGGAGTAGATTGGAAGAAAGCTAGGGGCGGCTAGACCAAAACATGGCACAAGTCCATGAAGTCACTGACAAGTGAACTGAGTCATGTTGGTAGGTGTAGACTACCTGGTTGGGGACCGCGAGATGATAGCAATCGATGGTTAGAGACCCTGAATGACATGGCTCAAAATCGTTTGCAATGGCGCAAGTTCATCCACTCTGTGTTCTCCCAAATTCTAATCTTCTGAATTCTTCATGTCCCTTTTTTCCTCTTTCCAAATTTATTTCACTGGATTATACTCTTTAAATAACATCTCCAAACCCTAATCTTCCCGATTACTGCTCATACTCGTACTACTACCTCTGCCACTATGGGATTTGAATCGACAACTGCATCTCTGTGCTAATGTGGTATCGCAACTCGAATTGATGTACGTATGTACGAAGTTCTACGTTGTTACTGACTGACTGACTGATGGTTATTTACTGTTGACGGTGTTCTAAGGCTTAACGCTACTCTGGATAGTGACTGAGCGTCAGCGGAGTTACTCGTGAAACATGCACTGAGAAAATTTGAAAACAAACGAAAACTGGATATGCACGGCCATACTTAACTAGAAAGCCTTAAGTGGTCTACCCAGCTAAGAACTTTTGATTTTGTGACTTAACAACACCCCATGTTGTAGTGCTCATCCTTTACCATGAGTTGTCAACGAAATGATTTGAAGTGTACTTTACGAACGCCAGAATATGATGTAAGCTAGTGTTTGCTATTGCACACACAAAAATAAAGCTTGATGAGTTAGTTAGCTTAGTGTAAAAATTCACCAGCAGCGACCAGGGTATGTGCGAAAAGACTTGCTAAATATGAACAACTGTAATGTGACAAATGTTGGAGTAGATACAAAAGTTATTACTCAATTACCGACCCATAGTTCCCATCAAAAAACAGTGAAAATAAGTATGTATTTCCTTTTCACTGAACTACTTGATTAAAGACATGCGTATTTGTTCTTTTGCATTTTGGATAGCCTGTATGTTGTGAAAAAGAAGAATTTTATGTATTTTGATTTTAAAAACAATTGACTAAAAATTATCTAATGAAATGAACACAGCAAGGTTGTCGTTCACGCTTGTACTGATGGGACATGAGAACTTTGGTCCACACACATCTGTGCTAGGCTTTACGTTAAAGATGAGTGATTATGATCTAGTTAGCGAATAGACTTGAGCTGGTTAAAAGCAAACTTTGTGGCAGTTTTTCGGCAGACACGTTTCTCAAACAACTATTTTTAAACTCAAGAACTGGTACACTTACTCAACACACTGCTTATGAGAGAAGCAGCATTTGTTGTGAATCTACACCAGTAACAGTTGACAGATGAGTAGAAAACCAAACTGGAAACCTTCCGTCAATATGTCGGTGACCTTTCACTGCAATAAAACAGGCTTTTTCAACAGATGAAAAACCATTAGCGTTTAACAGTATATCATATCGTTGGTTTTTGTATATTAAGGCTTATTTTTCCACTTTACCTCATCATATGAGACCAAATCATGTAAAAGTAGTGACTAAAGGAATCGCACTTAAAGTTACATCTACAACGAAATTATGTTAAACATAGACTGACCTACTCAACGTAGATACTAGCGAAAAGGAGCTAAAATTACCTGTGCTACCGTTTGCTCTCCAAGTGGGATATCGTCTGTCCTTGCACCAACTCGAGACACTAAGGCGGTTGCGTCGGACTCTAAAAGTATGCTTTAAAGCATATATTAATTTATTCCACTATTTACCCATTATGACACAGTTCATCAACTATAAGGAAAATTAAATCTAGATTATCCATCAGTGTTTTCTTTTCGACTGATCGTTTCAGAGCTTGACTGACAGAATCGTACAAGCATTGAAGGGCACTGACGAGTAATAACTTACAAAATGAAAGATCCATTATGTGACTCACTTCGTTTTCGTTAGCATCCCCAACAACATAAAAGTAAAGATCGCCCACGTTACGATAAACACAGGTCGCGCCGTCCAGCAACGTGATTTCCGCTAGAGAATTGGAAGAGCAACATACATTTATACTGATCCGACCAAAATAAGACGTACAAACAATTATGATTGGAGTAAAACATTAAGACAATGAGAATCTTTGGTGATGATAAGAACTTTTCCATATGATTAACAAATAATAAATCAATTTCAAAACGATTATTTGATGTCCTCGTAGTGCCATAAGAATTTTATCAACATAGGTTATTATGAAGAAATGATCATCTCTGCTAATGTGGTGTGGCAACTAGAACTGATGTACGTACGTACGAAGTTTTACGTTGTTACTGACTGACTGATGAAGAAATGATATTTGATCGATTGTGCAAACGCATCTTTTAAGCATAAAAGTCTGATCCTGAAAGTAAAGGTAGTCAATGGGCTTTATTAGCCAAATGTATTATATATATATATATGGAGAGAGAGAGGACAAGTTAATTATGTCTAGTCACAGCTCACCTCGACAGGCGATGTTTCCTGGTTTAAGAGAAGGTTGAAAGAAAGCTAGGGGTTCTGTGAAATCTGTGACATTTGGTTTGTGTCATGTTGACAGATACGGGCTACCTGGTTTGGGCCCATGTGCTTATTGTAATCAACAGCTATAAGCTGGATGTCACGGCTCAAAAGGACAGATGTGTTCACTCTTTATCTTTCAATCTCTCATTTCGGCATCTCAATGCATACTTTTTCACTCTGTCTTCTATAGGCATACTTTTTTAACTGTAATTACTAATACATTATACCCGTCTATTTTGCTATATACCTTGTTAAATTCATTACGGTGTGCTGGTGATGTGTAGTAACTTAGGGCAGTGCAAAACTGTTTCAGACTCTACGTTGATGATAACTGATGTATACATATATATAGTAATCCGAAAAACAAAGTGCAATTTCGTTTGATCATTAGTATGATGAGTTTCAGTCAGAGAGCTGACCATATCGTTTTAAGTACACAAAAATGAGTACATAAACGAGAAAGTGGATATTTAATTGTAGGTACCCTGGAAGGCACAAAATGGATTTATTTTATGTGAACAATTTTTGAAATAGGAAACCCTATTCTAATCAAAAGATAAAAAATTTTTTCTTTAACATTTCACGACGGCAGAAAAAAGTAAGACTATAAAAAAAGGATGCGACAAACTTGGGAACATTCCATGTTCAGATACTAAGAATCAGGTAACTCGAAAACAATGTTTGAACTAGTACTTCATAGTATTGGAATTTTTAAATAAAAGTGCTTAACGCTCTTTTGTAACACTGAATTCTTTCAGTGTACATAAAAATGTAGTCAGTAACAGTAATCACTAGATAAGTTTGAGTCGAGTACACCCGAGAGTCATTGAGTTGTATCTGATTCTTAGGAATCGTGAGGGTTACTGGTTACAGCTTTAATTCATATCAGTATACAAACACTAGAATGCTGAGAATTATAGAGGATATTTCGGACTGACCAACTCAAGACCTGTTCAAAAACCGAAATCAACTGCTTTATATCCAGATCCTTGTCATCTGCAGTTTCAGACTGCCGACGTGCCTACTAAAACACAATAACTTGGTTACTATGTTGGAACTTCCAAAATGAGATTAGATGTTTGCAGTACTACGAATTACGAGAATTGCTTTAGATTCCTTAGACTTTTATACTTGTAACTGCTAAGAGCGAACTACGGAGACGGTACGTGCTCTTCCCATTGGTTTTGGGTTCTGACTACTAGCACGACTAACTAACATCATTTTTGTTTACTTTTATCTTGATGAGTATGAAACGGAATGGACCACTAACAATAAAAAATTGTAAAGGAGATGGTTTAGATCCGCAGTTGAACCTGTCACAGACCCACTAAAATGAAAAAACATAAAAAATCAACGAAAATTTACCGCCATTAGTTTTGCTTGTTTTTTTGAAGAGTTTCGACTCGAATTCGAGTTGAAGCTTAACGGTTGGAAACGATGAGTCATAATACTACAAAATTAAAGTTTGTTTGATATACTGACTGAGCTACCTTCGTTAAAATGCGCTTCCCTTCACTATCTAAGATGAGTATGCTATTAATAGAATATAAGGACGGCTCCTGTGGAAATGTCGAAAATCTATATACATACCAGGAGCATTGTAAGCGACAAAAGCTATGGTTGGCAGATGTCAATTAATCCGCTTCCTATTTGTGACCTAAGCAGGCAATTCATTATCCAATAATTCGGGCTTTGAATTTGTCTCTTGGTGACAATGATGAGAGTTTGTCTAATTTCCTCAATGGTATTCTCGTTTGTGTTATATTTCATAGATGAATCAGTAGTATGTGCATACTGCATTTCTTCATGTGTTAGTCTGAGAACTGATCTCTTGTTAGGAAATGTGTGTCATGAGGATCATGTGTATTATTATAATATAAAACCACTGAATATGTCCTCTGGGTTCCCTCAACTCATAAAAAGATGGAATAAAGGATAAATATAGTTCAAAATCATTTCTTAGTCAATTAAATCACTCAGTGTACGATAAGGATAAATAAATAATTTTGACTTCTGGATATACTCTTAGTATAATTAGGTATCTAGATCCTAAATTGCTTATGTTCACGTCGCCTTTTCTCTTTGAAAAGTCTCTGAGTTTGTCCTTTAAAACAGGGGTTTTATACCTATTTACAATTGTCTGATTTGGACCTCGAAATTTGCCATGTGGATCATGTGAATCATGTTTATTATAACACTATTACAAAGCTGACACCAGCATAATGAATAACAAGAGTAAAATGGGAGTATCTCTATTCATTAGAAATACTATCCCATTTACTGCTATTGACAACATATCCCAAGAAAGTGTGACATGCGTATTAGTTATCTGCTGCTCAAAATGCAAATTACAAGAGCTGTGATTGACTTGGTCAACCGCAGTCCAAACTGTGCGACGAATTAGGTCTTGCTAGACGTTTCAACACTTGGTCAACAAGTGGTCGATGTTTAATCTTAGGAAATCTTAATGCACCCACAGTAAACTGGAGAAATCTGAGGACTGAACTGTCAGAAAGTTTTTTCCAACAGAAACTAGTTGGTACGGTTATCACAGGTGTCCATTGCATCATGTGGAAAAAGCAACTAGGTATGACATGGACTCCGAAATATCCTTACTAGTTTTCATATTGATTCATAACGAGTGTAAAATGTGATCGATAAACGAACCCACCAATAATATATGGAAACGCCCACCACCACATTAACTCCTTTTGACCTTGTACGAAGAGTGACATAATTAAACTAGTCCAATGTATCGCGTACCCGGCCGAAAAAAGAATTCTAAACAGCTCAACGTTGACGCTCATAGAAAACGCTTTTAGACAGCAAAAAGGTCAAGAAGCAATGGACGAGGTGAACAGGAGAAAGAAAATTAATTCGTCAAAGTTCTATAAGAAATCTCAACCCCTTGATGTTTGAAGGCAAAATCCGCGTGGGAGGACGTTTGCAGTTATCATGTTTACTATTTGAAACCAAATATCCGATTATTCTTCCTAATAATCATTTTGTTACAGATATGATTATAATGCATTATCATGTGATTAACGCACATGTTGGAGTTACTCAAACTCTGAGTAGTATTCGTGAGGAGTATTGGACTGTCAGAGGATATTCTACTGTTCGGAAGGTTCTAAAACGATGCTATTTATGTAGAAGACTTTATCCTAAACCATGTTCCCAATTAATGGCACCGTTGCCGGAATACCGAGTAGAGACTCATTCGCCACCCTTTAGTCAAGTAGGTGTGGATTACTTCGGACCGTTCTATGCCAAACGTGGTAGAGTTGTCGAGAAACGTTATGGCTGTTTATTCTCCTGCTTACCTATTAGAGCCGTTCACATCAAAATGGTCTACTCTTTAGATACGAATTCATTTCTATGCGCATTATCAAGATTTATTGCCAGAAGAGGATGTCCAAAGCGTATTTTTAGTGATAACGGCACAAACTTCCGGGGCGCAGATGCCAGTTTGAGACAGAGTATACGTTCCTGGAATACTAATAAAATAGAAAACCACCTTAAAGAACGAGAATGTGAGTAGCGTTTTAACCCACCTAGAGCAAGTCACCAAGGTGGTGTGTGGGAACGCATCATAAGATCTATTAGAAGAATCTTAGGAGTGCTTTTATTCCAAAACGTGTTGACCGATGAAACTCTGCAAACCTTCTTAACTGAGGCGGAACGGATACTGAATGACAGACCTCTGGTTAAGATGACAGATGACCCTGGTACCCTAGAAGCTCTTACTCCGAACAAGTTGTTGTTGATTCATAAAAAATTATCATTCGCCGATGCTTCGGTGGATAAGACGTTATTATACAACAAAAGATGGAAAGAAGCTCAAAGACTAACCACCGCATTCTGGAATAGATGGATAAACGAATATTTACCGACTCTCCAAGCAAGAGACAAATGGTTGGACGTACACAAGAACTTACAACCGGGTGACTTAGTCCTCGTTAGTAACGTCGAAATGAATAGGGGTCTATGGCCTAAGGCTATAGTCGAGCAAGTAAGCTATGGCCCGGACGGACGAGTCCGCACGGCAAAGTTGAGAACTTCAAACGAAGAAATCATCAGAGATGTGCGAAGCCTATGTCTGCTGGAAAAAGCCGGTTGTCTGACGGCGACGATGACCCTGGACAATGGACGTGGTGCGCGTTTCGGGGGGAGTGTAAGATGTGATCGATAAACGAACCCACCAATAATAAAGGGAAACGCCCACCACCACATTAACTCCTTTTGACCTTGTATGACTGTATCTCTTTATTAACTAATCACAGTTTAATGTTCATTGTAAAACAATATTTGCTTGTTGACTCGTTTTTCCTATTCTCTGGTTACTGTTCGGTATGTTATTTGTCTCTTTTTCCATGTATTAATAGACCGTACTGTTTGTTTGTACACTAACGATGTTAATTTATGTTTTAGAAACAGATAAAGTTTATATAGCCAAATAGCTTACTTGTTCTGACTTTGGCCAAACCAAGACTCTGTATTGGACGGTCTAGAGAATAGTTTAGAATTAAACCTGTAGGAAATTGCTCCCTACAACGGGATTGACGTCACAAACCTCCATTATTTACCACTCGTAGGTGAAAGTGACCATACAGTTTAATATTCGATTTCTATATAGTTGTCCATTACGAAGATGTGTCTTCTCAAGTCAGACTAAACGTCTTGAAAGCAAATATAGGAGGAATTATACAGTCTGCATGCTCAGTAGGATAGGCAATAGGACCATAGCCACCTATTAACATTGCTTGGAAGATATTCAGAAATTCGCACATTAGAGTTACAACAACTCACATCTTTTGGACTAAACCAGCGAGTCCGGGAAACTTCCTGTCATGGTCCAGTAAGGGTCTAGCACCCTTCTCCGTAAGAGAAGAATGCGGTAGAGGTTTAGGTTACTGGGTACTGATGAGACAAAATCTTAATGTCAGGAAACTCGGGATATATGTGTCTCGACCCTCCACGAGTCTAGAATGTCGTATTTAGATAAACTTGTTAAAGAGTCTATAGAATACCCTATTCACTAATCATCGTACGTAAATCAAATGAATTAGCGAAGAGAAAATATTCCAGCATTATGGGAAGACATTAATGCTTCATCATCACTGGAGAACGATTATGGTAAAGCTCAAGTATTCACAAGTTATTTTAGCAATGTATGTACCGTGTAGATGCCTTCTCCTACAGTTAATATAAAGCCACCCACACATACCGGGCACTGTGACCATTAGAAAACTCGATGTCTTTTGTCTGCTAAATGAGCGTCTTTTAGGCAAGTCCATGGGACCGGATGAAATGCATCCTAGGTTACCAAAGGAATTAGCAAATTTTGCCGTGAATCCCTTGAGCATATGTTTTAATCTGTCTGTAACCCAGGGTCGATTACCAGAAGACTGGAATAATGATGTATGAAGTCTTTTCTTCAAAACAGATACGAGACACAAATATGAGAATTGCTGACCCGTAAGTTTAATCAGAATGGTTGTTAAAGCTTTACTAAAGATTATTCAGAAGGAGTTACTGAAGTATCTAGTCGGAAATCGAATTCTTTCTGAAAAGCAGCATGGTTTTAGAACAGATTTTTCATGTTTCTCAAACTAACTGGTAGGCTCTGAAAGCTGGTGCGCTCTAGAAGATCAACACTTACTTATAGATGTAGCCTATGTTGACTTCAGCAAGGCTATTGACGAATTTTCTCACAGCCGGCTGTCATATTAATTAATTAATATCAGGACTGAAGACAATTTATTAATGTGGATAAAAGACTGCCTAGCAGGGTATCAATGAAGACCATGGGTGAGCTCAAAGCTGTCTCGCTGGAAATCTATGCTTAGTGGAGTGCCTCAGGGTACAGTTTAGGGGCATGTGTTGTTTCTCCTTTATATACATGACCCTCCTAATCTCCTATCATCATCGGTTTTGATATCTGGTGATGTCATTATATGGAAAGCGATATAAAGTGGTGATAGTTTAGAGCTTTAAGATGACCTGGAGAAGTTATGTGAATGGTCTAGTGTTTGGCAGTTCTCGTTAAGCCCTTCTAAGTGCATTGTGATGCATATCAATCACCAGGGTTCAGATACATGCACGGTGAATAACATTGAGTAACCTGTTGTCCAGACACACAATAACCTGGGAGTTATCTTTAGTTAGCCCCTGCCTATAAAGAGACGCTGAGCTGTTGAAAAAGGTTCAAAGAACCTCAACGAAGCTGATGATGCCAGACTGACTAAAATAAACCCATTACCATTGTCATATAGAAGAACTAGAGACGATTTGGTCACAGATTTGTAAATACTTGGTGATGAATTTGCATCCGATATGCCTTCACTTTTCTTGCCTCCCAAAGCAGAAGATTTATGCAGACGCTCCAAAAACGTTCCCAGGCCCAGAATACATAATTTGTAAGGTGATTATTGACTTTTCCATTGAATCACCAACAAATGGAATCCATTCCTAATCTCCCCATTTCGGGGGAAATTATGTCCATTTTGGGTAAAGTTAGAGGAAACCGCAAAAGAAAACTTTGGGGAAATGGCACAAAAACCAAACATTTCCCCAAGTTTGTGGAAAATCCCCAATTCATTAGGGACATTTAGGGTTTGCCCCAACATTTCCCCAGAATCTCACAACACTTTGCGGTTCTTCCCAAAAATTCCCCCAAACTTAGG